GCAGGAAGGTTACAAAGGATCCCTACTCTTCCAGCTAAGTAAGCAGGACGGCCAAGCCTGTCAAATAACCTTTTAGTCTGTGATCAATTAACCTCTAGGCTTTCAAATCATCAGTACAAATCACTGATTTGTTGAAGGAAAATACTTGCGGAGCATTAAGGACACAAACCTAAGAGGTTTTTGCTACACTACGTCAGTGAAAACAGATGGTACAAGGAGGTTTACAAGACACATCTCAGAAGTGGTCTGCAATCTCCTCTTCGTCTGCAACTTCAATACTACCAACTAGCACGATGCACAGTGCCTCGATTTCCTTAATTCTCATCACCTTTCCTCCTACTCCAGCTCAGTCACTAACCTGATGATAACCAAATCACTAAACTGAATGACAGAAAGTTTGGGAGGCTTGACGTTTACCTAAAATGAAGTTTCAGCATATTTTGCTACGTCTGCTGCTCCAATTCTAGTCACCACTAAGAAACTGTGAGTTGATGCTGACTAATACAATTAAAATAGCAGACAGAAATGTCCATTCCTTTTTAAGGTAATGTACTTACTATATTCTACTCAAAAGCCACATTCCTAAAATTAAACATACTGTTTCACAAATAGGATTTTACAAAGAGACTACTGGGCAAAACAGGCAGTGTTACTAAAATTATCACTCTCAGATCTCTTCCTTGTGTATAGCAGTAATTAGTATTTTTGAAATCTTAATCATTTTAATATGCCTTGGAGATCAAAAATTCCTTTCACACACTTTCAAGACATCTAAACAATCCTCCACAGGAGAAAATAAATTACTCCCTCCAGTATACCCAGAGTCAGGGCACGCACAAGCCTACACAGCTGTAGCTTTTAATTCTCAGACAAGAAATTTTTTCAGAGTAAACTTCAGATTCCCTACAATTTGGGTTTGAAACACTCCGGGAGACCATGATTTAAGAAGCCAGATGAACGTGGAGTCTGGAACTTGAACGTTAGAGCTCCCTGTGGGAGGGTGTTCAAATCGTGCTGCCTGATGTCACCATCCAGACCAGGCTAGAGTGGATATTATTATACAAATTAAATACATGAGATAAAGGTTTATAGGCAAAAAATATGAATCTTCAATTCTATGGAATTCCCAACCCCTATACAGGAAGAGTCTAGTAGCTCTATTTGGAACACCCACACTTAATTTTTCATACCATTTAGACTTCATTTTCAGCTCAAACTTTCGGAAGTGTAAGCTCAACTGCTTACTTCTTTGTTTGCTGGCTGCTGGCCGTTCTTTGTCCTAGCTGGTCCTCCTATAATATTTTACTCTTGTCATTCTCTGATCAAAAGTAGTGGCATAACATCTTATCAGGTGAAGGAAAACACTTTCTTTGCTTATTTCTCTTGCAGCCTTCTATTTCTACCAGTCAAGATTTTACCACCAAAGCTGAAAAGTGACATACCAAGTTCCTCTGGCAAAGGGAGGACTGCTCGTACTACCCAGAGGAAAAAAGTCACAGGTTTTAGTGTTGGACAAAGTCAAGGTTTCAGTCTTGTTTCTGTCATTTACTGTACCCTGACAAGTTACTTAATTTTTCCAAGTCCCAATATCCTCACCTGTAAAGTCAGGATAATAAGACATATAGTTCAAAGGAATATTTTAAAGATTAACCAATATAATACACAGAATGTTTAGCATAGAGCTTGGCACACAGTAAGTGTTCAATAAATGCTGCATCCATTTTCATAAACCAGATTTGGGTATGAATTACCCAAACAACTGCCTCAGCACCATGCTTCAATTTGCCCTAGGAGACCAGATCACTATGTGCTGCTGTTTTAATCTTTAATCTTTGGTTTCTATGACACCAGGGTGCAAATTCATCAGAACTTTTTATTTATCCAGCATGGCAGGTACAAAGGGTAAATGCAAACATCTGCTATAAAAATCCTGTGGATTAAAGATTACTTACAAGTGGAATTTTTCTATTATCTACTAGTTACTCTCCACCAATCCCCACCCCCCCAAATCTCCCCGCATAATTGTGGCATTAATTTGAGCATGGTTGAGTATATCCAACTTAAAAAAATACCTCTTTAAGGGCTGATCACTGGAGGACTGATGGGCAGCATATAAGCCCACTAGACAACAGTACTTAAATAAATGCTACCAGCTCCATGAATCCTTACTCAGACCCCTGTTTCAAATACTCTGTTCTGTAGGGTGAGCAACAGTTTATGTGCCAAG